GATGGAACAATCTTTACTAACACTTCGTTGAAAACAGAGAGTTAAACCCTTATAGCATAAGCATATATACTTTTAGAAGTCACTACCATATTATAACCTATAATATTTAATTGTAAGATGAAACGATGTTAAATTTGCTTGATATACACATACATACATAATACGTACAACAACTCTTGATGGCTATGTGAGTATATGAAATAGTTACCTATAAGACCGGCGGGTGCAATGCTGTGGCTAAAATTTAACGGTATTTGCCCTAATACACTCTTCCACATTTGTATTACTAAGTGGATTAATACTTGCAGAAGAGGGTAGCAAAATAAATTTTAAATTCTCTAAGAGCAGTGAATTCTTGAAAAGATTGAAAGTGTTGACAATTTCCTATAAAATAACTTCCAGCTGCATGTTTGTTTTATGTATATATATAAGTAATATCAAAACATTTTACGACAATATTAATAATGATCAGGAATGCAAATACTGCATTAAAAAAATTTAAATATAACTTGAATTATTATTTTTTATTTCGAAAATCTTAATTTAAAAAAATTCTAAATTTATCCAATATCAGATTTTAATAAAATATCAATTTAGTGTTGTTCTTTATGTCTGATTTGTATTTAATTACTTTTTATTAAACAAGTAGGGTATATATATGTACGTTTTTACTTCAGTTTTTAGTGTGAAAAATTATTATTTTATTTGTTACTCGAATCTTTAAATTAAATACATTTTTCTCAAAAAAGAGCAAAAAGCATTAATAATGCAAGTGGGTTGTTGGGCGTCAGCGTTGGCATTAATTGTAAATATATGCACTATATATGTGGACTTTTTACATCCTTGCGAAATTAGTAATGCATTCAATGACATTATTTATATACAATTGAAAATATAAGCATTTCGTGCATTAATCTTAAATCACTGACGTGTGTCTACATATATACGAAGTAACTCTTAATTATCCAACAGCATACATATGTATGTACGTATAATGTAGAACCAAAATTAACAAATATTAGCTCAATCTTTTTTGAAAGCAGTAGTTTGTCTGTGTTCGTTTGCGCATAAAATAATTAGTGGGTTGGTGTTTTAAGTTAATGTTCACTTTTACAAAAGTATGCGTACTTTAAGCCGAACAAATACGAAGAATAAATACCATTAAATAAAATTTTTTAAAACGTGTTGTTCTCCAGCGATTATATGATTAAAAATACACACACATGCCTATGTATGTATGTATGTACATAATTTTTAAATTGTAATGAGTTATGCTAAATTGCCTTCAAACAGTTTTACTGTTACCGATACTAATATACGAACTGCACTTGTTTTTATCATTAACACCATTTTCATTCATATTGTTTGTGTTTGTTGTTGTAAAATTTTAATAACTAATTTTGGTACGAAAATGTCGAAATTCTTATTTAAAAGAGAATATGAATTATCATAGTATGTTGTTGCATTTTATAAGTACATTTATGTATATGTATGTATGCATTGTTATTATAATAGGTATCAATCTTATATCCACTTAACTGTTATTTTAATTGGCTTTTATTTTAATCTTTTGCAGGCGAATAGTCGATGTTAATGGCAACGTTAACAACGAGCCCATGGCTAAATATTTCAGCTACGTCGGCTTTAACATCGACAAACGGACAGATGGAACGAACGCTTCGTTGTCAACCATCATCTGTTGTTCTCTTGAAGCCACGCGACACTTCAACACTTGGCTGGCTATATGTCATGCTAATCGAAATAAATTTTAAAAACTAAATTGCTAACCTTCACTTTTTTGAGATTTTTGTGGTTGCTGTAATTTACATTTTCTCTGTTATGTACGGTTTACAATTTGCAAACTGATATTTTTCTTATTTTTAAATATTATGAACTTTTAAGTGGGCTTGTTTTTGTTGTTGCTGGTTGTAATTATTTTATTTGTTTCTCTCTTTTTTTTTTTGGGAAATGCTTCGTTTTGATTACACTTAATTATCTTTTACATTTTAGTTTAATTATACTCATAGCTATGTGTTAATGCATATATTTGTGCCTTTAGCAAATTCTACACAAATATTTTTTTTACGAATATTTTTATTTTTTATTCATAAAAATCGTACCTCAAATGTTTTATACTCACTAATAAAGTATCATGCGCTTTTATTACCGGCCTATTTTTTTTTTAATTAATGTAAAAAAAGACGAGAAACCCGTTAACTTCCGTTACACCGAAGCTATATACCCTTTGAAAAAGTTTTTAGTTGATTTTCCTAAGCATTGATACTTTGAATAGTATCTATACGCTATATGTGGTGCGATCTGAAAATTTTCTGTAGAATTGTCTTTGACAACAATCTATACAAAATTTTGTAACAAACATATTTTGAAATGAAAGTTTTCCATACAAAAACTGCTATAGTGGTGAACAATTTCTGCGGTTGTAATGTTACTTTAGACAATAATTCATGAAAATTGCGTAATTATATCTTATCAAATAAAAACTTGTCCATACAAGGGTATGATTTTCTTCGCTGTTATTTGCAAGAATCTTGCCGGTTCGAAATTCCTTGGCCAGATTCGGTTCCGTTTCAGTTAAGTAGACTCGACTTTCGCGGGAACTTTAAAACTTTGATCGTTCACTTCGTATGATAGCTATGTGATATTATTCAATTTGGCGTTTCAGGCAAATGACTTCTTGGAGAGAAGAGGATTAGGCACGCGTATATACAAACAGACGGACAGTTGGTCATCCTCATCACTGATATATACATCTTAAAGGTATCCAACGTTTCCTTGGTGTTACAAACTTCGTGACAATTTTAATGTACCCTACTCATTGTATAAAAATAATGATATTTTGAATAATCAAGCACTTTGCTGGTATTCTGCAATTTAGAAGTGGAACTTATGATTTAACAGTTGCACGCAAGCGTCGAAGTATGCAAACTTGTCTTAAGTCTATGTATTTTCGTATTGAAGTAGCTGGTTTTTGCTTGCCAAGTCAGTGATTATATGTTATTGGTACACCTATTTTGTATGAATTTCGTATAATGGAAACTGTATGTTTTATATATATGTATTCTTGTAACTACTAATGTATACAGCTTGTCGTTTGTAGTACATGCTACTCTCTTACAACACTTATGCTTATTACTTTTACTAGTAAATCAGTCAATTCGTTATTAAGTATATGTATGATAAACTGTAATGAATCAGAAACTGTCGAATGCTCAGAAATTGTAATTTCATCTAACTTTTTTATTAATCGTATTTAAACTAACGTTTCATCCCATCCTAATTTATATTTTTAATTGAAATCGATACACTTTTATTACTAACGCTATTATATTATTTCGTTCGTCGTCAAGTTTTTTGTTGGTTTGTTTCGTAAGCAAATTCTCAATGATATAAAAAGTACAAAATAGCGGTACAGGATACGCTCATCGGTAAGTATGCATGTGTATGAATATGAATATCACCTAAAAGTTTGGTTAATTCTGTTGTTATGCGGTTGTCAACAATAAAGTTTATTTTTGGTTCAAAACAACTCATAGAGAATCTTTCTTAAACAAACGTATATATCTTAGAGGGATTTCATTTCTTATGCAAAGTTCTTATTCATGTATAATAGAGATTTTAGTACTTATTTGTGTATAAAATAACAAATTATGCAGCACTAATACCGCTAATGCTATGTACATACTTATGTATATTGAAATGTAGTTCTAACTTGTTGGTACCAGCTACGGTACTAAACAATTTTTTTAATTTCTATATTTCCTGAATGTAAGCAAATTAACAATTATTAGAATTAGTCGTAGAACGACTTGATACTTGAACTATGTTCTGTTTAATCGTACACCGTTAGTTAAAATTTAAAATGAAAAATACACTGCCGTGTAAATACTGTGAGAATTATGAATGTGGAGAGTTACAAATATTGCAAAAAAGAAAAAAAAATGACTAACAATATTTTTTTTTTTAAATTTGTAATCCCGAAAAAGTTAATTAAATGTAATTTTTAATCCTTTGCTTTCACTCTAGTTAATGATCCCCAATACATATGCTTAATGTCATGTGCACCCGCTTTCAAAACTGGGCTAGGTTATGAGGTACAACAACGTCCCGCTTTTTGAATTTATTTGTACCGAATGATGAAGCAACGCATATTTCATACCAAATATTATTACTCTCGACATTATGCAGTAATTAGCTATTGTTTCCACCTGGTTACTAGCTTAATATATGTATATGTGTGTAGTTAGAAAACTTGTAAAGAAAATGATCTTAAAACGCACTTAAATTTTATTAGCAGAAATTCACCTCAATTTATTTTGTTTAATCTGTCAATATTGCTAACTGAATAAGAAAGCATAACATTGCAATTGTAACAACATACCAAAGATTTGCCTCAAGGCTCATATGTATTGCCTATGCTTGCCTCCCGCTTCATTAAACTCATGTTTGGTTAAATAGTATTTCATTTAGTTACGATATTTGATAATAAGTATGTATGCATGTATTTAAATATATATGTATATATTAATATATATGTATGTATATATTTATATATTCAATTAAAATTTAAACTTTAAAATTTATAGTAAATCATAATCATTAAAGAAATTGTTTTACAATTAACAGTCAGTGTGTTGGTTTTGTGTTTAATCCTCTTTTACTTTACGTTACGTTTACTTTAACTTTGCATCAAGTGGTTGCTTGTTTTTGTTTTTGTTTTTTTTTTAATTTAGGTTTACGTTAAAATTTTATACTAGCGTACATTAAATTTAGAGTTGTTTCATTTGTAATTGTAATTGTAATTTAGCATTCGTTCTATCAAATATGTAATCTTATTTTGTTTTGTTAAATTAGTTATCATTATGTTACGATTAATTTTACATAAATTTAAATGTATGTGGTAGATAATAATTGTATTTTTTCTTTTTGTTTTCTTGTATTCTCCATTTAAATGTAATTTAGTTATGTAGGCTTTTAAAGTATGTTTGTGTTTACAGTAATTTATTTTTATTGTATTTTTATATTTAATTTAATAATTACGTCAGGTTTTCTTGTTATAATATACTATTAGCGCTTATTTTTTGCTTTTTTATTTGTTTGAGGCTCGCATCAGTGATATTTGTGGACACTAGCTACCACCATTTTTTTGCCGTTTAAAATATATTAGAATCAGTATATTTTTTATTTAACTTAATCCTCATAACATCTTTATTCGTAAGCATATTGAATTTAGTGGAACTGGGTTGCGAAACTAACATAAAAAAGGAATTTACAGTTAACATGAAACGCGGCAATAAACTTAGTAAAAAAAAAGTGTAATGAAACAATTTCATAGAAAAAATGTATGTCTAGTAGTAATAATTTTAAATCGAGGACATGTTATTAATTTTACTGAAATAAAAATGCAGCTTATTTTTCAAACAACTCTACTTTTAGCAAAGTAATCTGTACTTCCCCAAATGAAAAAATGTACAGGCATTTTGCATGTTCACTACTATTTATATTAGAGTTTGTATTACTTTCGCGGACACCGTTTTAAATTGCGTTTGTAATTATCGTAGTAATAGTTATAAACTATATATAGACTACACATCATACACTTGATGACATATATTATTTCTAAATTAAAACATTCCGTTTATTTACTCTTATCAACTTCAAATGTAATTTTTGTTCTTTTTTCCTTTTTTGTCCTCTTGTTTCATCAAAATTTTGATAAATTATTGTATGTAAACTATGTTTGTAGGTATGTATAATATATATACATGTATATGTATCTATATATATTGGCGCTTTAATTCACTATTACTACACATAATTCTTGTTGTTCTATCTTCATAGTTATATATAAAGTGAATATATATGTGTGTGTTTACATTTCGTTTTCACCTATTCAATTTTACTCATTTACACACTTCAAAAATTGATATAGCAATGTATATGTTTGTATATAAATTTAAATATTATTGTAATTTACTATTTTTATTATTATAATTTAAGTTGTAACTAAAGATCAAATAAGTGTAATTATATAAGGATGTGGATGTGTGTTGGTGTATACTATTTATGCACACAAAATCCAATTTTAATGTAGTTTAACAATACTATTCTCTTGAGATTAAGAAATAAAAGAAATCAACTGGAACTGCCAGCTAGGTTAGACTGTAGTGTATTTAAATGCGGCAAATGTGCAGATGTGCAACGAATTTACAGTTTAACAAACGTCCTAACATATAGAACTAAAAGTAAATATTACTGGGGAGCGAGATATAAAACAACTCCTTATACACTAATAGCTTATTTAAATGATTAGATACAACTTATAACACGTTAAGTATAATTGTATTCCCGAAAAATATCCATCTAAATTATTGTAGTATTGTGCCTAAAAGCGAGTTATTTTGGGCATTCATTCATCAAATTCATGCAAAAAATAAATAACTCATAATTAATTCAAAATAAGATCGCCACTACATATACCCATTCCCCTACAGTCTCATCATGTATCCTTATAGCTGTACCAGTTGATTCATTCTAACAAATTTATACTAGATTAATGAACAGTTTACGATTTGTTCGCTAAATATTTTCAAATTATGAATTTACTTTTTGCTTGTAATTTTACGCTACGATTTTAGTCAATGTCTGTGTATAATGGATGGTAGCAGTGTGTTTATGTATGTTTTGTTAAGTGCCTAATGCTCTTCGCTTTATTTTTATGCCTTTACATATGTGTTTTTTCTTTGTCCTTTTTCCTCAATATAAGTAATGTATGTATATAAACTTTATATTTAGTATTTGTTTATGTAATATATATATATAGTTAGTAATTAATTTCAACAACTGAACTGAATGAATAGACGCTAAGCTTATAATTTAATCTTTTTTCACTGTACACGGCCGAAAGGCAACGTTCACTACTTCGGCGAGGACGCTGCAATTTGGACGCGTTAAGTGTATCTAGACTAATGCGCCTTAAACTGCCTGCGAGGCAGCGTATGGAGGTTGTGTTGCACTGTCATTTCCGTACGTTGAACGTGGTCCGGCGCCGTAGTTCGAAGCACCGCCGTCTTGCTTGCCATAGTTGCTGTAGTCATAATCATAACCAGAGCCATAACCGCCGTAGTCATATTCAGAGCCTGATTTTGACGCTGAGTTACCAGGACCAGTTCGCGGCATGCCACCTACTGGACCAGTTGTCGAGGGGCCACCAGCTCCCCATGTTTGAGCGCGTGAATACATATCAGTAGCGCTTCCAGCAGCAGCGCCTGGTGCTCCCGTTGGTCCAGCCGAATTTGGTGGTATATTCCAAGAGTTCCAGCTTCCACCACCTGAAGGACCCGATGGTCCGCCAGTTGAGGTCGAATTGTACATATCATAACCTCCATACCCTTGTGTTTGTTGCGGACCAGCTGCATAGTTCGACCATTGCGGTGGTGGTCCCTGTGGTCCCGGAGGTGCACCCCAACCTTGGTATGAACCAGGGCCGCTATTTCCATAACCATAGCCTTGTTGTTGTGGCGAAGTTCCCCAACCTTGATAGCCAGGCATCATATTTGGAGCTCCAATTGGCATGTTAAGTGGTGGACCTCCCATTTGGCCATTTTGACCTTGCATCATATTAATAGGCGCGTGATGGGGGCCCCAATGATTGCATTCATTGCCAAGTTTTCCATAGCCACCACTAACATTGCTATTATTAGCGTTTTGACCGCCAGATCCATCACGTGGTTCCGCTTTTTTGATTTCCACCTAAAAATTCATAGACAGTATTTTATAAATTTGAAGTAAATTTATTCTGTATGCATCCTACATATTAATATATATATTGGTAATTCAAAGAAATATAACCACAATAAAATCAAATGCATATTACTACGGATATTACCGCTATATTGTATTTTTTCATACTGAAAATTAGTTTAAACGCAACAAATAAAATATGCATAAAAAATATACCGTCTATACATTCAAAAAATACAATATTTATTATTTAGAATATGAACTTGTATAGAAAAGACATACCTGTTTGCCATTAAGATTGATGTACCGTTCATTGGTGACATGTTCCACAGAAGATTCCTCTTCAAAGGATAAAAAGCCGAAACCACGCGATTTTTTCTTTTCTTGATCGTACATGATAACAACCTCAGTTACTTTGCCATATCGTCCAAAGAATGTACGCAAATCCGTCTCAGTTACATTGGACGGCAAACCACCAAGAAAAACTTTATAGCCGCCACCCTTTTTAGGTTTTTGAAGAGTGCGTGGATTACATGGTTTAGGATCGATTGTTCGTCCGTCAAGTGTATGCGGACCGCTTTGTAGTACATGGTTCACATTTGCGGGATCTGCAAAAGTAACGAAACCAAATCCACGGGAACGACCGCTCTCGTTGTTCTTCATTACTACACAATCAATGATTTCTCCGAAACGGCAGAAATAACGCGATAGATTCTCCTGCGTCGTCTCCCATGAAAGACCGCCAACAAAAAGTTTTCCCCTCTCGTCTTCCTCCATGATCTTCTGGGGACTCTTTAAATATATTAAACATTTTATGGTTAGAATATATGTATATAATTATATTAATTGATATTGCTCTTACAGTTGCAGTTGTTGAAATCGTTTTTAGGCCGTTACTTCTTCTATTACTGCTGCAAACCTTTCTGTTCTTTTTGCGCTGGTTTTCTAACCGAATATAGTATATTTAATACCTTAATGAAGTTTAACTAGTAGTTTCTTAGTTAATTTTATATAAGCAAAGTATAGCTAGCTTAAGTGAAGAAACTCGCGCCGACTACTGAAGGGGCTTGAATATGCTGTATCCACACTTTGCGGTTGTTTAGCTTAGAGAACTAAAGCCACGACTTAAATACGTAACTTTCTAAATTTGATATAGCAAACGTAAAGAACAACAGCGTAAACGGCAATGGATTACATGAAAATAGAAAGATATTAAGGGTTTAACACTTTGGTAATACACATTATATATAATAATTTTAGATTTTAAGACAGTATTTATTTACACACTTTTATACAATAATTTAATCAGTGTAGTGTCATTGACAAGTGTTTTGTGACTAAAGAAATATACGAGCTAACAGTTATTATTTATAACAATGCCAAATATTTTTCGCGTCGTTACGTCTCTATTGAAATCTCGAATTAAAATGAATGCAATATTTTAAAAAGTCTTTTAAGTTATGATGCACGAGTATGTTTTAAAGACCGTAATTATATATTATATTACGGATTTTCAGTTTGGCAACATCAGGTATACGGAAAACGGACGTACCTGACTCGGAAATATTCACCTCTATTATCGCTATTCACCATTAGCGGCATTTCTATCCAAAAACAAAATGGAAGTCTCATGAGTGCTTAATCACAAAAATACCAGGCTAACAACAAATGTAGGTAGCATCCAGGTATTTTAATAAATATTTAGCACCTTCATAACGTGATATAAGCAAGTTTAAAAATATTTTAGATGTTATATACATAACGCTCTGAAACCGCCACATTTACAACCTATAACCTAAAAATTCAATCCATACAACATTTAGCTTTGTCACAAAATGGGGCAAATACATACAAAGTTCAACACAGTGACATATGTACCAACCTAATACAAACATATTTACAGCACAATCAATGGAATGCCGATGCCAATCCATTAAAGAGTAAATGATTTACCGGTTGTATATATGTTAATCCTGACATCTTCTTCAGGTACAAGTATTTATATTTTTTAAAAATATTGCTTCCTGCGCAATATTGTATGTAAATTGTTAATGTACATATTTATATACTAATATATTTTTATATGCACATACTTAAGTATATACATGCGTAAATGGCCGACTCGGACTCGCGAGTTATTCCGTGTATACACGGTATACATATTTGTAAGTGGCGATGTATGAATCGTGTGGATATACTTAGTATTTTGTATGTATAGAATAATATAAGGAATTTTTCACTTTTCAGAAAAATCTGTAGTACATAGGAAAATAGGCAAATTTGATGTAATTTACCCAAAAAAAAAAAAAAAAAAAAACAATGTAAAATGCCGAAACATAAACGTATTCATAATTTTACTCCATTGCCTCGCACTGAATCCTAGCTGGATTGGTGCCGCGATGAACTACACTACGGATATCGCGGTACCCATTCCCACATTAAATGAAGCATCCACAATAATTTCTTTTAAGTTTTTAAGAGACACTAATTTGCGTAAACGCAAGCAAATAGTGGAAACTAGGGACAGCGGCAACCAGCTTGCTAATACACGTAAAATTCCGACACCCGAAAACGTTATATAAAGTCCTTAAATCATAAAAATTTTGTTCTCACCGTTTCCGCCAAGTGTTCGTCTGCGGGATTCTCAATTTATTCGCACTGCAAATTCACTAAATTTAAGTTTTTTCCTTAAAAAACTAGCTTATAATTAATTGTATGATTTGATGCATACGATTATAACCTAACTTAAAAAAATGATTTCGACAAACTGAAACGCTGCATGCAGGAGGTGAGTTTTCCCTGTACTGAACTGTGGTGAAACTGCCTACGTCGCAGAGTACAATGACTGCTTGTCCAGTTCAAAGTACTATAGATCTATCTCTTTTTTTCGTATGAGTTGTGTAGGCTCGCAGTATTATGCCACGTTTTATTATTGAAACATTTTCCCTCCACAAAACGCTTGTACATTCCAGCTATTTTGTCAATCATTAACCTCTATGTTGATCCAATTTTTAGGCTAATACTTCCAATCATAATAAAAATAATTACTTAATACTAACTGTTTTCAAATATCAAATAATATTAAAATATTATTGAAAAAAATTTTGATTTCTTAAATATAAGTCTATCAAGTTTTTTCTCATTCTAATGTTAGTACACTGTACCTTGTGCATATTTATGTTGTAAAATATTGTTAAAAAGAACAACGGTGCTTACGAACATAATGATTTAAAAAACTAAAGTAGTGTTAGCGTTTTTGTTCTTTATTTATTTATAGTTTTTGGGGTTCATTACATATCTGAAACACAATGTATATTTTGTGTACTACAGAGTATATATAAAATATTTATTTTAAAATTTTTAGATCTTGCATTTTTTGTTAAAATTAGAATGGAAGCAAGGAAAGATTTAATTTAAATATCAACATTGGCGTTTATTCATTCAAGCGTCAGAGTGCACTTTTATAGACTTGAATGGGATATCTCATCATTTTTTTCACATAATGAATGCAACTCTGAGGGGTGATATTAACATCTCTGCTTAATGAAATTCCTTCGGTCCGAAAATTTAACTGTAAATTACAGCCAACTTCAAGTCATTAATTTAAGTTCAATTTCAGTTTAACTAGACGAATCTCGAATATTTCTTTATTCATTGAATTTCTTGTGATTATTGTTTTTGCTGAAGTTTTTTTTGCAGAAAGTAAATACGGCTTATATAATAGTTGTACATTCGTATCAAACAAATGCTCGAAATGGAAGCATTTCGAAAGCTTCAACCCGAAAGGAAAAACGACGCGGATAGTTCTCAGGAACAAATTGAATTAAACTCTAGCGTTGAGATGCATTCGCCTTCTCCTGTTTGTCATATTCAACCTCGGAAACTACGTTTTGCATCACCACAGATCAATGAAGAACCACAGAAACGGTCAAGCCCAGTACAGACGCGCTCGTCAGCAATTGCAGCTGTTTCGCCTCCTTACCGCAAAGTTAGAGCATTGAGACTTTTCGACACCCCCGCCACTCCGAAAACCATTCTGCAAAAATCGAGAAACCATCTGTCTGCAGCGGTTGCAGCAGACGTTGCGCGAAAGAGCGAAATAGAGGAACGACCACGATCGCTACCATTGCATAGTCGAGTTTTAGATAATTTTCAACAGACTGCAAATGTGAATCCTTTTACCCCAGACAGTAAGATATTATAAGCATACCATTCCTTAATATATTTAATTATCTTATTTTTGTTTATATGTAGGTTTTTTGGCTCGAAATAAGAAGCGATGCCGAACTCAATTTGGTAGAGACAATTTAAGCAATCAATCACTACAGATATTTTTAAACACAGAGGCAGAAAATAGAGAGAGTTGCGAAGAAGATGGCAATGTGGAAGTACTTCAAGCCCCAAAAAGACTAGCTTTGCAAGACACAAATATTAGCCGTTATCAAAAAGAATTCTTAGAAATATCTCTGATTGGTTAGTAGTGATAATAAACGCCTTTGAGCTGTTCCTTTTATATGTGTATCAATTTCAAATGCTTTTTAGGGATTGGAGAGTTCGGTTTAGTTTATCAGTGTCTTAATCGTTTGGATGGTTGTATATATGCCATTAAGAAAAGCATAAAGCCGGTGGCAGGCAGTTTTTTCGAGTGAGTTTTTTTTTTATATATATATATTTTGAAATACTAAGCATATTAAAATATGTTTTTAAATGTACCTTATAGAAAACGGGCTCTGAACGAAGTATGGGCACACGCGGTATTGGGTAAACATGACAACGTCGTCCGCTATTACTCTGCGTGGGCGGAAGATAATCATATGCTTATACAGAATGAATATTGCAACGGCGGCAGTTTACAATCTCTTATACAAAAACGTTTTCTCGTTGAATCTGAATTGAAAATTTTATTACTTCATGTGGCAGAAGGATTACGGTATATACACTCTAATGATTTGGTGCATATGGACTTGAAATCAGGCAATATTTTTCTAACGAAAATGCCGTCGCTACATAAGTCCAGTTCAACACCGCTGACAAAAGAATACTATGAAGATGGTATGGATGGTATATATGAAGAACTTAGTAACACAGAGTGTATTACAACATATAAAATTGGTGATCTTGGACATGTGACATCGGTAAAAGAGCCACACGTTGAAGAAGGCGATTGTCGTTATTTACCATTTGAAATACTTCAGGAAGATTTTAGTAACCTGTTTAAAGCAGATATATTTTCACTTGGTATGACACTGTTTGAAGCAGCCGGTGGAGGACCCCTGCCGAAAAATGGACCTGAGTGGCAGAACTTGCGTAACGGAGAAGTCCCAAATATACCAACATTAAGTCCAGAATTTAATGAACTCATCAAACTTATGACACATCCCGATCCGGAAAAGCGCCCTTCGTCAACATCTATATTTAATCATCCGTAAGTAAAATAAAATGAAATATATTATGATAACTAATTGCCGCTTCACAATATAGTAAGCATTTTTTTTATATTTCATTTATTTAATTCATGCAGTATATTGAGCTCATTAGAATCAAAGACGAAATCGCAACTTAATCAAGAGTTGACTATTGAAAAACGTAAGAATGAAATTTTACTACGCAAGTTACGCGAAGCTAAAAAACTACTCAAGCAGTATGAACAAAATGGAGGTAAGATAATATGTAAATAACAAGTAAGGGCGGGTTAAGTTCTGGTGTAACCGAACATTTTATACTCTTGCAACATGTAAGGATCACAGTCGGTAAATTCTTTTAGGTGTTGGCATTGTTGGAAAAATTTAGCGAAAGCATTCAACCTTATTGTTCGACAAAATTGTGCAATGATTCGATTTGATTCTTTCAATTTCCAGTACACAAATCAAGCATCCGAAAATGTTCGGATAAAACTTGCACAAATAGTCATTTCAACTCTTAAAATTTTCAAAGTCGGACCATAACTGCTTGAGCACTCACATACCGTAAATGTGGCCCCAGTGCATACTTCTGATTTTTTGCCAAAAATATCGATAAATTCTTTAACTTACAGGAAAATGTTTTTTTGATAATATAACGGTGAGTTAGAAATGGATTTAATCGGGTCAATACTTACCGTAGTCCCCATATAACTGATATTTAGGAAATGTCCATATTTATATAAATTTTTATAAAATTTCTTGAAAATGAGAAGGAAGACTGTCTGTCCGTAAAAACTGTAACTTGAGTAAAAATTGAGATATCTTTATAAAATTTGGTATGAGCGTTCCGTGTCAAAAAAAAAAACGAGTTATTAAATGGGCGTAATCGGATCACTGTCACGACCACAAAAAGCTATTAACTGAAAATGTATAAATAATATAAACCTATAATTTAGCACTGGCGATCGCAGTAGCAAGGGGCACCTGTGAACAAAAAGTTTTGAAAAAGTTGGAGAGGCTCTGCCATCTAATAAGTTTAATGTACATATGTATCTCCTAAACCACTAAAGCTATAACAACTAAATTCACCTAGCTCGAATATTATAAGAACTCTTCGCGACAGTGTAAAAACCGCTCACACGCCATATAACGGTACTAATAAAAACTACTAAAAGAGCGACAAATCAATAACTAAATACGCCAAAGACATTATCCCCGAGATGGCAAGAAAGAGATTTAATGGAGCCAGGGTTAAAATTGGACGCTTTTGGGTGAAATCACATATTTGATTTCAACCAAATTACGTGACTTTCCGGTGACATTTTTATACTACTGTGTGAATATCGGAATACAGTAATGCCTAGTAGGAGTATGTCTGGGTGCTATAAGTGCGTTGAACCGGGTCAATACTTCCTTTAGCCCCCATGTACCTAATATAAACATTTTCAAACTTTCGGGTGATTTTATACTGCATATAAGTTATCTTCATAAAATTAACAGCGTTTTTTACTCCAAACTGTGTATCTTCATGATAAGACAAAATTGGACGAAAACTTGACTTAGCCCCCATATAAAAAACACATAACATCCATATGATTGGTGATGGTATGTGAGGTACCTTATCGAATCTCAGTGAACATTTTATTAGTATGTGGCATATTCACGGTATGTAGTATTGGCCCAAAAAGAAAAAAACGGGTATATATTATCCCCAACTCCCATATATAGTACTAGATATGTTTTCCTAACAAACTTTTTGCCGAATAGGTAGATTTTTTTTTAACTTTTATTAATTATACATTGCTTGGATTCCGATCCTCTGGATGATGTTAGGCACCCTGGCTTTGATTCTTGCAAGTTGCAAGAGTCTACTTGTATAATACAAACAATTGATTTCTATATTTTTAATAATTTTACTCGAAGGTTCTTATTCCGTCAAGTATACAGACCTTCTGCACTATTTTTAATAATTATCCATCTTACTATATTTATAATTATTTTGTTTTTAGCAAATAAAACGCCACCCGCTTCTTTGGAACAGCGTTGTTTGCGCTCATATTCGCGCAAAAAACGCACACCATGCATCAGTTCTAAGTTGGATGGTCTGCGAGATCGCAACAAAATGTTATTAACAAGTTAAATTATTGAATTGAGTAACTGAGTACTGTCAATAGTATTAATTGCAGAAGTTATACAAACGAATTTTACCCATTGTCCTTATTTTATTTTTATTTTTTAACTATAAACAGACTGTAAATAAGAAAATATATAATATATATGTATGTACGTCAACTGTACGGATATAGCTTTATTTCTTGATTTTTGATCACTAACGGTGACATTACTGATTTACGAAAATACTAACAGGTTGTTACTAAACAAACATGTCTACCTGAAGGCAATCAAACTATAATTTGATTTCTATTAAAGAAAATATAATTATTAGTACGCATATAACAGAAGACAACTATGGTAGATTCTTACTATAAAAGGAATTACTTACGATATACATACAATGTGTGTGGACATGTGTCAGAATAATTACGTGGAAAAATACAAATGCATTTGTAAATTTTTTGTATCTTGGAGGTTATTTCGATTGAAAAGATGTACAATCATTATACTTGTTTCAATGTTTATCATACCATTTAATATGTTTATTTATATTTGTAAGTTTTAGTTAGACTTTTTTACTTTTTATTTTTGATGTAAAATAAAAAAATATAACGTGAATATTTCAACATTTGAAACATCTACATATTGGCATTATTATTTTCATATTAATATAAATTTTTTTTCATTATACTTTTTTTATTTGCATTTTTTTTTATATTTAAACAATTTAATTAGCAAATTCTTTCTCATTATTATATGGATCTACATTGTAACAATAAAATCCTTGTTGATACTGTCAGTCAGAATCATTAATGGTTTTTTTCCGTTTCTTGGCTTGTGAAATTTTTTGCTTAGGCCAATCCTCCTGAAAAAAATAATTAAATATCATCATATATACGTATTATATTTTAAACAGTTTCGTTTATCATACTTCACTTGATTCTTCATCAGATGAATAAATCGTTTTAACTGGATCTGAGTTTTTCTTGTTACTCGCATTGTGGTTATTTGTATCTTTTTTACTAGTCGGTTGTTTTCTGCCACGTCCACTACCACCACGTCTCCCCACTGCTGTCGTTTCATCCTCAGCCGCCAGCGCAAATAGATCGCTATATTGCTTCTAAAAAAAAATTTTTTTAAATATATATATATATATATATATGTATATAATCCAGGAGATTTGATATAATGGAACAAAAGCATATTGAAATTTCGTTGTGGGTAAATTATTGAAGAAACAAAAAAATATTAACTTCGGTTGTACCGAATACCCTTCATATGACCTTTTCCCAATACAATAACTTGATTTACATCGTTCAATTTGCATAACAATTATATGCTATAGTCGGACGATTTGAAAATTTATTTGGATATAGCAATGGGCAATAATCCATGGCAAATTTCGTGAAGTTATCTTTTCAAATAAAAAATTTCTCTTGATGAACTTGATTGTCTTTGTTCAGCTTGTATGGCAATTCTATGCTACAGTGCCCAGATATTGATAGTTTCCGGCAAATGAGCAACATCTTCGGAATAAAAGAACGTCTGTAAAATTTCAGATCGATATCTTAATAACTGATGGACTAGGACTATTTCTCGTACGTAGAGAAAAAGGACATTGATAAATTAACTCAGTTCGTTGCACTGACCATTTTTATACATATTCCGATCTCCGACAATTCCTTTTGGGTGTTACGAACTTCATGGCAAACTTAATATACGCTGTTCAGCGTAAAAATTAATACTTACTTTTGTGCTCTCATTACTATGTGTATACGCTGCTTGTAAAGCGCGTTGCATAGTATCGTAAACGTAAAGCCCAGTACCTGTACCATGCCTGCAACTCCGTCGATAGTGCTCCAAGTGACTCAGCACCTGAAATATGAATATTGCGAATTGTAGTTGTGGTTAGTTTGCGATTTATATGTCTATGTATGTATGTATACCTGATCGGCGGAGGGTAAGCTACTCATTGCAGAACTACCTTTAGTTAGTCTTTTCCGTTTGTTTGGAGAGGAGCTGGGATACTTTGACGTGAGCAGTGATGCTATGATTTCTGACAGTTTTTCCTCGCCGCGCTGACACCAAAAACTAGAAATAATTACATATTTGTAATTGTATGTATGTTTATAAAAAAAATATGCGAGTAATAAAAAAATATTAGAATATGGTCAATAACTTTTGAAAGAAAAAAATCTTAGTAGGTTGAAGGTCATTGAAAAATCAAATCCTTGGTTATTTTAATTTTTCAGTTATATAAAAAGGTGCAAATACAAAAACTGTTGATCTTTTTATTAACTCCAACTTAATTATTTTCTATGGGACTTGTACATAGTTTTGTGGAAATCGAGATAACCCATTTTTAATCGTTATCAATTCAATTTTAAAATTAAAAATTTTTATTTTTAAACCAAAAATTAAAAAAAAAAAATCATTAGCCTTATTGTAAGTAGCAATGATTTTGTTTACCGTAATGCCGATGTGACAAAAGGATCACCCCGAGATTTTGTCTCCCTACTCAATAATAGTCGTATCAGTTCATTCGTGGGTTCCTCGTTTTTCAGCCATAAAAGCATATAGCTGAGAGCTTCTGGATGACTTGAAGATTCAAGTTCAGGTAAGATATCCTAAAAAAATATAAAAGTGATATAAATAATCAATATCTTTATTATTATTTATATTTCTTTGTAATGTATTCGTTCGGATATTCCGGGTTATAATAATTTACCTGTAAGCACTTAAGCGGAACATCATGCGCTTGTACCAACTGCCACAGGCTCAGTTGCTCAAATGTTTCATAAACTAAGCTCTCGCGCAGGCAGTCGATCAGTCCATCCTGCTTGAAGAGTGTCAATTTACCTTGCGCCACATAGTAAATAAGGTCACGCAAGTTCTTCGCATCGATACATCGCAACGTAATTCGCAACAATTCGCTATTGTTTATGGCGGTGCTTTTGAACTCGCGATAAATATCTGGCAAAAGCCAAAGGAAAATTATCGTACTTTCTTTTTCAAGTAAGTCTAAGTCACGCGCTAGACAATCGTCCACCTTTTCACCACTCGCCTCACATAATAACCGATAAATTGGCGTTTTGAATTGTGTCGCCTGTTGGCTATTCTTACGCGTTTGTAATTTAACATGAACTTTCATAAAGTAAAGTAATAAATAACCGATTTCCGGCATTCGTTCACATATTTCAGAGAGTAGAGTTTGAAATGGTTTTTTACTTTTATCATCATTTTCGTAGAGAAAACGAAATAATCCGAAAAGTGGATAACTTATACTTTTTGCCAAATTCTTTTCATCGGTTTTACTATCGGTGAAAATATTTTGTTGTGGCAATGTTTCACGTAAAATTAAATGCGTATTCGAGATCACATAATTCAATTGTGCTTCATCCAATGCTGAGGCAGGCAATGTTCGAAAATCCAACAAAAATGCTTCCCAAGTAAAGGAGTTGCGTTTTGTGACAAATGTTTCGAATGAGTCACTTATAGACGCGGGTAGATCGATTTTCTCCGGTATGGGTTTCTCTTTTAATCGCACTTTTGATAAAGGCAAATCATCATCGTCGTCGGTTAGCTCTTCACTTTTGACATCTTTCGCAACGTCATCGTCATCTTCGCTGAAGGCTGCTTCGGTTTCTATATCATTACTTTCGGGTGATATAACCGTTAATTTACTATCCTCTTCGAGGTTGGTTGTAGTACTAATACCACTACTACCTATTGCACTAGCATCGACGCTTGGAGTTTCTGTTAAATCAGCTGCATTGGTACTGAGTTGAAAATTATTTTGTAGATGCATTTCAGGTTGTTGTGCTAATGGTCCAGCGAAAAAGGTTTGACCACGGTGTAGTGCACGTGGTTCTGCTTCTTTTTTAAATGGTGGCATTGGTACCATTGGTGTTGCAGGATGTTGTGTGGGTGAAACAAATTCACGGAAATTTTCTCTGATCAAATTACGTAGCTCTCGATCCAATTTCGGCGATTCAAATAGGGGCTGTAAATTTGGAATGACCTGAAAATGGGGGATTCGTTAATTAAATCTATAAAACAGCCATGGGAAAATAATTCACACCTATTTAAAAAAATTATAAAATGGCACACCATTTTTTTGAAATACTAACTGTACTTACAATTATGAATACCATAAACTAAGAGTAGACTATCACCACTATTCTTGTAAATTAATTTTCATACCTGCTTTTCGAGTATCTTATTTAATGAATTATATACACCAGTACGTATTTTATCCTCGTGCCGTATATCAAAATTTTTCATTATGCGGCAGAGAAAATCCAAAAGTGTGCTGCTGACGAATGGATGGTTGCGTATTGAATGATACATTACTAAAATGCCCGGTTCGATGTTCATAATATTATCCTTGATCGGATCAAAAAATAGCCAATCATAGAAGAGCGAAAGTTTTGCGTTAGCCAAAGCAATCGGATTTGTACAAGATGATATCAGCCAACCAATGATGGCCCAACGAGGAATAATATCCGAACACAACATATCATTTGTAGGATGTATGACATTTATAATAAACCTTATTAAATCTGAACGTAAGCTATGCGATTCGGGAGTTGCAAAATATTTATCCTGGAACCAGTCCTGGTAACGCTTTTGATTGCCGAACTTAACAGATGATGCAAGAAATGTCAATTTACGTTCAATTTCTGGCGTTAAACGGCTTTGAAGAAATCGGCGGCTTGTTCGTGTTTGCAAAAGTTGCCAAATGCCGGTAAATGTTGGATGTAGACTTTCAGGGCTATGCAAAATATCCCGCCATAATTGTTCGAATTCGGAAACCCTTGCTACATTTTGTAAGAGCCTGTTGGAAAAGTAAATATAGATGTTACTTAATAAATATATTGTGTAACTTTTGCAAAACTAGTTGATAGTAATGTAAATCCCAATAATGTTATGATACATACCTTACAAAGTCTCTACCTAGTGGTATTATGTCCAAGAAACGATCGCGTATTAATGATATTATAAATTTTACTTCTTTCTGTCGAAGAGTAGTCAATGAGGGACTTGCGTGATCTTCTATAAGACGAACATAGCTATATACTACTGTCTGCACAAGAAATGCCTGAGATTCTAGCCAAGCACGATAATCGATGAATATGTCAAGAAGGCCTTCCACCAAAAAGATATTTTTCATAGAAACATCACCACCACCAGCTTGTCTAAGGCAATTCCACACTATATTTTCCACCAAAAGTACTTGATGTTTTACAAGTTCTCGAAGTAACCATATTAGCTGGCGGCGTGCCACTTCAGTTAATTTCCCATATTTTTCTGCTACAAGCATTGTAAGATTTGAAACAACCATATTCATTCCGTCTCTAGCGACAAGTGTCAAATCTCTATAAGCTTTTGGCGCCACGGCAGGGTCTGTTAACATTGTGTATAAAAATCCTATTGAAATATCTTCATGCTGTTTTTCTTTACATACGAGTTGTGACAGAATGTCATGCATATCCTTCTCATTGAGGCCATTGATTTGCTGCTGCAGGCTCACGTATGCACGTTCAAATCTCTGCAAGTTAAAAAGAAAATAAGTTTTTGCAATATTCACTATTTAGAAAACAATTTAATTAGCACAAAGCATTAAAAAATGTGACAAAATGGTTTTAAATGTCCGTTGAAAAATATGAAACAGACCTCTTCCAATTCGTCTCGAAAATCTACAGCCGTACAAATAAACAATTTCGATTGATTGTGATTGCTGTGTTGCTCCATTTCAAGAGCTCCCTCCCAGTCGGGAATGTTGCGGTCGTAGTCACAGTCTCTTTGTCGCTTTAGGTACATGCAACTGCTAATTCATAATTCAGGCATCAATGCCGTTTCCTCACTTAATGTGTTTAATATTCTATGAATTTTAATTTAAAATCTACATCGACAAACAAATAAAATGAAAATTTTGTATAAATTTGTGAAGCGAGAAAGCCAGCAGTTTCCATCAAACGAGTTAACAACGCAGTGTTGTATTGAGGTTCTCAAAAAGTTCTTTGCACGTATTAAATGTAGATTACGAGAAACATTATGCCTCGTTTATATATTTATGTTGTGGATGCTATACTCTGAATGTTTGACGCCCGGACAAAATAGAGCGCGATGGACTGCAAGCGACATCTGCCAGTATTAAAATGCATACGCTATTATGGACACAGTTATGTATCTTAATAACTGTGTCCGTAAGAACGTGTGTATTTTAATATTTGAAAGATGTCGCTTGCAGTATGCAGTGCTCTATGTGTTCCGATCGCTAATAAACGGACACAATTATATAAATAAAGTTATTTAAAATTAGTTTAAATTAGTTAAATAATATTACAGATACTACAATATTATACAAAAAGAAATCAGCGTTTGTTGATTTGTTCTCAAATATTACTATTTTAAATTCAAGAAATCATAAGCCAACATCAGATTATTCTGTAGTCGCTATGCCTAATATCAGGAAAATGTAAATAAATATAATTTCTAGTAGTAATCATTGTTTTAATGATATTATTATGTGTTATAAATTATGTTACAAAAAATATTGTTATGCGATATCGAATTTAATTTTTTTTATGATCGCAATCGTCCAATAAATCGATATATTTGATTATCATCTCTTATCTTTGTTTAGTATTGAGTTGTCTCATCTATTTCATTTTGCATTGCAATTAAGTAGAATTCGGTGAAATTTATCAGCAATCGCATTATAATTTAAGGAAACAAAATTCAAAGTGGATTTGGAAGCAGAAGAAGTCAAAATGATGGAGGAAATGATGGAGACGATTGTACCTCAGGAAGATTTTGATGTATGTATGTAGTAATATAACCATAAATTTTGTAATAATATTGTTACTATATTTTTTGAAGCGTAATGAGCAAAAGTATCTTCGAGAATTGGAATTGGATGGACGTGCAAGTGTAGAAGCAAAATTTGGTTATGCACTTTGTTTGGTCAGATGTGCGCACAAACAAGATATCGCTAAGGTATATAATTAAAACTGTATATCTCTTACTATAATTTTTATCATGGTAGTTATTATGAATCATCGTTTGTGTCTAAACTATAATTTTCCATGTCAATAATAATACATACTTGTTAATTTTGTAGGGCATTGAATTGTTGGAAGAATTAATGGAACAGCATTCCGAAGGAAGGCGTGATTATCTTTATTATTTAGCACTGGGAGAAGCGCGTATGAAAAATTATGACCGTGCACTTCAATATTGTAAAGCTTTCCTGGAAATAGAGGAAAATCCTCAAGTTCGCTCATTAGAGGTATTTAAACATATACAAAAACAACATAACTTATATACAATTTCAAAGAATAATATTTTACTAAAATTATTATACCCTGAACGGGGTATACTAAATTTAACGAAGTTTATAACACCCACGAAGAAACGTCCGAGATCCTATAATATATAAATGAGTTGAATTAGCTTGTATATCTGACGTCATATACTGTAACTGTTTTTGAGATATTCTCATTTGAACCGAGTACAAACTAAATGATTAAAATTAAGTTCTTCTAAGGAACTTTTCTACTTGATCAGATATTCACGATATTTGGAATGACATATTATCCAAGGCAACTCTACGATATCTGGAGAAATTTTCCAAGGCAATGGTACCATTTCAGAAGAAATTGTTTAGATCGCACACTTATATCATATATCTACAATTATCCTAGGCAGCAAGTTCAGATCGAACTTCTGTAGCAAACAGCTGCGAAGCAAACCGACCGAACAAAATCAAGATATAGATATTTTTATATACTATTACTATGGAAAAGTCAGATGTGTAGGGTATTTTAACTTCGGTGCAGCCGAATTTATTATATGTGTCATGATGGTATTTTATTAAATTGCTTTAAATTGATTTTTATATTTTTTTTAGGAGTGCATTCAAAAGCGATACGATAAAGATTTGAAGAAAGGCATGGCTGTAGCTGGAGGAGCAGTTCTTGTGTTAGGCGGTATTTTGGGTCTAGGCATAGCGCTTGCCAAAAAGTAATGCTTATACAAACAAGTAAAATATATTATATACTATTTGTTTTAATTACAACGTATACGATATTAGTTTGAACAGAAGTGTGTTATTTTATTTATTTAAATAATGCTAAATAATTTTATACCACTATAATTTAAACAATATCTTACTTGGTATTTTATTTATAAAAAATATTCAAATTATTTATATTTGTAGTAAAAACAAGCGTGATAAATAAATAACTAGCGAGCGGAAAATACCAGTCAGCTGAAAAAAGTAACTGAAGCCAAATCTTGTTGAAACTAACTGTATATTTAATGCAATGAGTAGATGTGGATTTAATTCTGGATCTGATTTTAAAAATATCGTAAAGTAGTAAAGAGTTCTACACAACACAATAACGAGAGCATTAAACACAAATAAATGTTCTATTTAAAAGTTTTCGACAATGATGCTTGTGTCAATCACAACCGCTCAGTCTTCTATCATAGCGATTGTCTTCGTCACATCAACAAAAATATTTCAATTAAGATTGCCGTTTTTAAATTAGCTGTTGAAGTATAGAATTTTTCTACAATTTGATTCAATATGTATATTAATCAGTAGAGCTAAGTATATGAACATACATACCTCCTAATTGATTATCAGAAGATAGTAATTTATAATCCTATTATTCAAAAATTATAAAAGGCGTAAATTGAGAAATGGAATTCATATATACTTACAACATCGGCCTTTTAAACCAATTCAAAAATGATTCGTCTCTGATATTCATAGGTATTAAAAGTTTTCATACTAACAAAAAAATTTTTTTTGTTTGTTGTAGTAAAGTGATTGTGATAGTTTTGAGAAGTTTGTTTTTATTCTTTATAAACTTATTACATATAATAATTGCACATGTTACCATTAAAATTAGATAATCAAATTCGTAAAAATATATGTATAAACAAATATAAATGCATCCGTTTCCAATATTTAAGCGTCATTAATAAATATCGTTGAAATTTAACGTCGTCGAGTTTCAATAATTTACTAAATCTTTTATGGCCGCTATGCAACGATATTTGTCAGGCAAGTAAAATATTTCAAAGACATGTGGAAATGGCGTATCCCAGCCGGCAACGCGTTTTACAGGTGCCTCCAAGTGCAAAAAGCATTTCTCTTGTATAGAAGCTGCTAACTCAGCACCAAAGCCTTGAGTTAAAGGCGCTTCGTGAGCGACAATAGCGCGACCGGTTTTCTTTACGGACTGAAAAAGGAAAAAAATATGTATATGCGAGAGATTTGCAACGCATTTTAATTTTATAAATTTAACATATACTTACATTATACACTGTATCACGGTCCCACGGCATAATAGATACTAAATCAATTACTTCGCAATCTATTTGATGTTCTTTCTTTGCAATTTCTGCCACCTTGAGTATATTATAAAAATATTATTTCCAATAGTTTTATAATCTTGTTTACGTTTGTTTTTATTACCTCCAAGAGTACATGCACTTGTGTACCCCAACCAATCAGAGTGACATCTTTCCCTTTACGCAATATGTCTGCTTTGCCTAATTCTGACACGTAATCATCAGTAGGTACCTCCTCAACAGCAGCTCGATAAAGTGTTTTCGGTTCAAATACAATACACGGGTTAGGATCTCGTATACAAGCTAGAAGTAACCCTTTAGCTTTCACTGGTCCTCTAGGTACTACAATTTTTAGTCCAGGTGTATGGGCAAAGTATGCTTCGGGACTTTGAGAATGATAAAGAGCACCATGACCTACAGCTCCGCATGGTGCACGAAATGTCAGAGAACCACAATCAAATAGGCCACCGCTGCGATAGCGATATTTAGCTGCTTCATTGACAATCTGATCAAATGCAGGGAAAATATAGTCAGCAAATTGTATTTCCGCAATAGCTGTGGATCCAACATTAGCAACACCAATGGCGAATCCAGCTATTCCTTGCTCGGTAAGTGGAGTATTAAAAACACGATCTTTTCCATACTTGTCACGTAGGTTAACTGAACATCGGAAGACACCGCCAAAGCCTACATCTTCGCCGAAAAGTATTGCGGTTGGATCTTTTGCAAGTACCAAATCCATAGCATTGTTGATTGCTTGAACCATATTCATTTTTTCAGTAGCATTACCAGTGGAAATAACTTCTTTTAGCGACTTGTCAGGATAATAAGTAAAATGAGAACGACACCACGGCACTGTAGTACGAGATTTCAGTGTGTTCAATAATGGCCAAAACGATTTCTTCATAATGCTAGAAAATTTATGTTTATGTATTTTGTTGCAAAAAACTTTGGCTTTGGCGATTTGCTTAATGTTATCTATCTGAGGTTATGTAACTAGCGATCGTTTCCAACGATCATATGTTCGCAATTGTTGCCAAGTTTTGTGAAAGGTGAACTTAATACAAAAAAAAATTAAAAACAGAATTCAATACTTATTATTAGGAAATCAATTTAATATACTTTATTTATTTATTATAAATTATATGAGTTTTTTCTAAAAATTGAAATACAGAGTAACTGATGGCAATATTTTGCGTTAACGCAACGTTGTATATACTCGTTATGACATATCTATGTTATGCATTGGGTTGTGTTTCAGATTAAATAAATTGATTGAATGATGTTTGCTTACGTTTTATGATTGAAACTACATGTCAATCAATACAAAAATTTGAAAATACCAAAAAGTTTTTCGAGAGCGCGTATTTACACTTTACATTATTTTATATTTCGGTGGAAGGATTTTATATAAACTATATTTTTTTTATTTATTTGAGATGAATATTAACACAGATAAAAGCAAAGATTTAGATAACACTTTAGAAGATGGTGCCTGGCTGGATTCTTTTGACAAGTTATTGGAGCCAAGACCGTTCGCATATAAAATTATAAAACGTGTGGTACAAATAATAACTTTCGTATTTTTGTCCTTTTAGTGTATTGCGGGAGTTAAATATTTTAAAAAAAGAGGTGCATGCATCATTCAATCGAGACTCTAGTGTGGAAAATAGCATAAATAGCAAGGGAAATGAATCGTCGCTTTTGAAACCTTCGCAGGAGTGGCCAAACGATTTAAACGAAGATATACAAGGAAAATCCAATTCAATTTCTACTCCACTGGTTCATCGTGGGTTTAAAGTGGATCCATTTAAATGCTCATTATCACCTATTGGCGCCTGGCGACTCTTATATTTTGATAAGGGTAAAAATAAGCGTTTAAATTGCACACCTTTACCCCCTAGTATACAAATTGTTGGTATGTTATTGTATACACATTTATAAAATAATGTTAAATAATTAATTTGACATATCCTAGAATGCGACGAACTAGTTAAAAAGACTGCTTTCAATACAATTCAATCTCAAGACTCAATTCCAACATTGAATAGACAAACAAATCGGTTTCAACATGTAACGAGGACTAGAAATACGAGACACGTTTGTTTTGAGTCAACAAATGGCAAAAGAACTCAAAATTCAATGGAAAAGTCAAAAAAAATGGTGACAAATGAAAAATATGATGTCAAAGGAGACGTCCGAGTTCCTAGTCTCACTTTGCAGCCCGGAAAGTGGCGAAAATCAATTAGTGCTTGGCGACGCAAACAAGGTATTTCATTAGTGTAAACTAAAAATGTAAAGTTTTAATTAATATTTTAAAATTTAGTCGAAAAACACCCAAATAATTTGGCAGGACGACAATCAGATAAACGCAACAGTTCTGTGGAATTTATTGGTTTCGTTGGTACGATTGTTGGTAAAAGAAAATCTATCTTTTTAAAACCTGAGCGCATTTCGGAAAATGTGTTAAGAATAAGCACACCTGAAAATAATGAGATTTGGGAGCGACATGTTTTGGATCGCTGCAATCAAAGATTTCCTCTACCATTTGAAGAGCTGTATTCTGCAGATAAATTAACACATTGTACGAAAATTGGTGAAGGTGCTTATGGTGAGGTATTTTTGAATACAACGAGTAAGCGAAGAATGCCAGATGCGAACAGCACGGTTATGAAAGTTATACCGATTGAAGGGAACATAGATGTCAATGGAGAGAAACAAAAGACATTTGAACAAATATTGCCAGAGGTGGTGATTTCAGTTGAATTGGCAAACTTGCGGACAGATGTAAATTCAGCAAATTTTACATGCGGATTTGTAAATGTCAGAAAGGTTAGATATTTTTGTGTAACTATGTATGAAACTGTATTTATATAATATATATAGTCGATACTTTCACTTGATTTTTTAAAAGCTTTTGATCGGATTGGTATACACGTGGTATTAAGGCAGCTTAGAAAATGGAAAGTCGGCTCACATATATGTAYATAACTTTGTTAAATCTTTTCTCTCTAAACGTAAAATTAGTGTACTTGTTTCTAATGTCCGATCCTCTATACTACCTTTTTATAATGGAACACCCCAAGGTTCCCCCTTTCAGTCATACTTTTTATTATCGCATTAGATGAAATCAGTACAATTTTATCTGACTTCCCTAATATCAGTCACCAAATCTATGCTGATGATTTAGTATTATTTTCTAATACCTCCGATTTGTCCGTTGTTACGTCTTCCTTTTCTAAAATCTTATCCCTCTTATTCCATTGGTCCGGTTCTTCGGGAATGTCAATTTCTTCCTCTAAATCTAAGTTATTACATATTTGTAAGAAACATCATTGTAATACACCTACACTTACCGTTAATAATATAAATTTAATCTGTACAGATAGTTTTAAGTTCCTAGGATTAATATAAGTATTCATTTAAGCAACATTGTCAATATGTAGAAAAAGACTATTTCATAATTTAAACATAATCAAGTATCTTTCATGTAAGCGCTCACTCATTGGGCCTGCTCTACTAGTAAAGGTCACCAAAGCTCTCATCTTATCAATAATTAATTACGGCTTAGAAATATATGGACACCATCAAATATAAAAATCATATCGGGATGCTTGCCGCACCGTATCATTCTGCTGCCCGTCGTTCTATTCGTGCGTTTCCAACATCTCCGATAAAAAACATATTGCCTGAATCTGGACTGGACTTTTTTAAAAGACAATATGGAAGACAGCTTATATAAACTCTATCCTAAGCTCATAATCAATCCCATGTTTTGTTCTGAAAAAGGATTTCCACTCGTTATACAACATCGTTATACAAATGCGCCATGTTTGTGAAAGTAAATKAGTTACCGCATAAAATAGCTTTACCTTGGAGTATTAAACACCCCCCATGGCTAGTGAGTGAAGCCTCATTTGTTTCTGATTTAGTTCAACTACGAAAGGACAATACTTCTAGCAATGTTTATAAAGCCCACTTCCTGAAAGTAACAGCTTCTCTCAAATCAGCTGGTTGGAAACTTCTATTCACAGACGGATCAAAAGGAACTCACACCTCCTTCGCTGCAGTTAGTGAAGATGAAAACCCTATTTCGTATGGCCTGCTATTTTCTTTTTGTTCAATATTTACAGCTGAAGCTACCGCAATTCTTAAAGCTGTTCAATACTCTAAGCTAAACAAAGGAAAATATATTATATGTACTGACAGTTTATCCTGCTATCAAGCTATAAAAAACTGCAATAACTCCAATTACATCATTTGCGCCATCAGAGACATTTTGATATCGCTTCCACATAAACCCAGAATTATGTGGGTTCCCAGGCACTCGGGTATAATTGGAAACGTGCTTGCGGGCTCAATTGCCAAGGAAATGTGTCACTCTCCCACTATAACATCACCATTTTTCGTTAAGGGCGATATCTACCATCGCTCAACTGAGAAGCACCAATTTAGCTGCTGATTGGGTAAATTACAATCACCATTACTCAAGAATTAACCCAAATCGCACGAAACCTAACTTTCCGACTTCTCTGCCAGTCAATCTCATCACTCCGTACGTCAGACTCCGCATTGGACACACTATCATTACCAATGCACACCTACTGGACGGTAGTCACATCAGCCAATGTCCCTTTTGTGAGTCAACGGTTAGTGTGCTACACCTACTCGTTTTTTGTCCTGCTCTGGACAGCCTCAGACTTAAAAACTTTAACAATGATGATCCTGTTCAGCTTTTAATGAACCCAACTATTAGCAAGATATCTAAAATTTACAGTTATCTGAAGGATACAGATCTCCTTCGTTGTATTTAAACAAGTTTCTAATTTTTCGCACCAGTCAGCCGAAAGCCTATGATGCTAGCGCTGCGTACTTTAGTTTATATAATAATTTGTTTATTATATAAGCTTTAATAAAATAAAAAAATAATATATATTATTATATTAGGTCACTTGTATTAAAGGCCAGTACCCTCAACATTTTATAAAGCTTTGGGAAATTTTTGACAAAGACAAAGGCTCGGAAAACGATCATCCCGATATATTTGATGACACACAAATTTATATAGTATTGGAGTTGGAGTTTTGCGGTCGGGATTTAGAAAGTTTCCAATTTCAAAATGCCGAGCAAACGTATGGTGCACTCCTTCAGGTATATATTTATTTGCACATGGCACTCGATATCATAAATACATTTACTTGCACTATTTTACTGTTATAAAAATTTATTTGTAGATTGTGCTAACATTAGCAGTAGCAGAACAAGCATTTCAGTTTGAACATCGTGATTTACATTGGGGAAATATATTATTATTGAGCACAAATGTGAAAGAGTTAAAATTTACTTTGGACAATCATACGTATTCCGTGCCTACAAAAGGTGTTAAAGCTACAATAATCGATTATACGCTCTCTCGTATGACTTTTAATAATTGTTGTCACTATAATGACATTTCCTCTGATGAAGATCTCTTTACCGCTTCCGGAGACTACCAATTCGATATTTATCGCATGATGCGGGATGTTTTAGGGTACGTTTTTTTATTTTTATTACTATTTTAGTTTCAATTGATATGCTTTCATTACAGCAATAACTGGGAATCTTTTGAACCACGCACAAATATATTTTGGATATCATACATAATTACAAAATTGATTGACGGTGTTAAATATAAAAACATCCGTAGCAAGGCACACTCTACATATTATTCAAAGCTCAATAATCTCATTGGCATTGTGATGGATTTTAATAGTGCTATCGAATTTTCTAAATATTTAATGGATTCACAAGCGTAGCATATTTTATATTAGTACTTATTTTTTATATTTGACAATGAAATTTTTATTTTTTAATTACTCAACGCGAACGCAATTTTAAATATGAAGGTTGCATGACATTTATAATTAATTGATTCTCAAGTTGATAAGGCTTATTAATAGCAGAGATTATATTTACGATTAATTTTAGTTTTGATTATTATAAACTGTTCCTTTTTATGTTTATTTTGCTGTAAAAAGGTTTTCTCTTTTTCAGTTCTTTAAATCAATGCAACACACTCAATTAATTTATTTTGACAGACACTTTATGACATTATTATGTCGTAATTTGAAACAAGCTTGTTGTTTCTTGTTTTAAAATTTTAATTTTATTTTTGTATTACTCATCTTTTGAATGCATGTATTATATTTCATTGAAATTTTTCATTTTAAACACACAAATAAATGTAAAGGATAATGCTTATTAACTTAGGGCCTACAAATAAAAAAAAATTCTTTAAATATATATATAAATTTTTGTTTTTGTTGGTTTAAGAGACAATGTAATTGCAATAAAATAAATACATATGTATGTATTTCCCATTGCTAAAGAAACGAGTTTTTTAATTTTTTTCATTATTAAAATTCTTCCTAAGCTGTCAACTATAGAAGGAAATTTGAAATTAACTCAAAAATTTTTCATGTAAAAGGATGACATTGTTGTAACGACTAATATTGACAATACTGACAGAGACTTTTCCTATATGTATATATATGTATGTATATGTGTTATGCTAGCTAGCATTTCTTTTGAAGCTGGCAGAAAATATGGGTCTTATTCAGAATGTTTTGTTTCCCGGGAATTATACACAAGGATTTCAGAAACCTCCAGAACTGCCAAATGCCACTTGGAACCACCATGCCTTCACAACTGTTATTGCTCGACATTCTGTTTCTGCTCTGACTATTAGAAAACCACGATCTTTGAGAGAGTAATGTCATTTTGGTATGTGTCCCGATCTCTGCTAGATTCTATAACAAAGACAAATTTGACATGCGTCTGCGTTGTTGTTGTTTGAGTTATTATTCAGACCCTGCTTGGGAGAAAGCAATATCTTAACTGTCATCGAAATCACTTATTGGTAGGTCTGGAGAAGAACTTTTTCGATGGGTTCAGAACGTTCCCGCGACAATTGGGACGGTTCCGCTGGATCTTTTCCCGGCCAAGCACTGTCAAACCGGCAGCATTTCTCCAAATTAAAACAACAACACGAGTTGTAAAAAGGTGATTAGTGTCATACGGTGACTTATTGCTTGCAGGATGAATGAAGGTGTTAATAGCTCCACTGTGAATGGCATTCAGTGCCTGTTGAAAATTGGTAGCGTCCGAAATGTGGTCAGTTATTCAAGTTCATTGACGAGTTGGAAGAATGTTGTCCTGATATTTCTAGCCATTTCCATTTCAAACAGGTGACTTGATGGATAGTTTCTGCGAAAACATTTGAATAGAAATTGCTTGGAGAAAATAATGTTGTGCTGCCTTACAGGAAGTTATCGACTTCACTGTATAGATGTTTCACGGGAGACGTTAGAAGACACTCTGGTCTATGGTTCTACATAAGTGCGGTGCTCTCTCTGGCCTGTATCTTGTTGTTGTTGTTGTAACGGCAGAGTTCTGCCGAGTTGACAGTCCTTGGCCGGATAAAAATCCGGGTCCGTTCCGGTTTCCGTAGATCCGACTGTCGTGGGAACGGTGGCCTGTATCTTCTCCATGTGCGCCCTGTTGCATCCAAGCGACCATAATAAGGTGGAGTAGTTGATGATCGGCCGGTCCGATTTCCTTGTATATTGCAAGCCCATCTCTCTATTTTTACCCCAAGGAGAGGATTTTAAGCTCTTGTAGTGAAGGGAGGATTTTAGGGGAGGATTTTAAGCTTCTTGCAGCTTAGGCGTTCACTTTTGAGTACATGCCATCAATTCCATAGCACGACGTTATTATCATGCAATCATCTGCATATTGAGAATTTGATTTTGACACTATTATTGCCGGGTTGGACTGGCATTTTCCGCATTTAAAGTCGTGGGCTACGCTGAGAAATAACTTTTGAACCATTTTAATGAGTTATTGTTTTTAAGGACTATGCAGCCTAAATAGAAAAGCCTATTCTAACAAACATTGACTATGTGCGCGTTTTTTATTAAGTTTGGGAAAGAGGAATTGGTCGCTGGAAGCCAAATCAGAGTAATATGGTTAGGGGACTAGTTAATAACGTCCTTCAATTTCAAATCGGTCGTGTTAACAGTTCTTGACCGGATAAAAATCCAGACCCATTCCGGAAATTTTATCTGTTGTGTGATAGCTTGTTTTTTAATCGTAGTTTTAAAAATGCGGAACCCATAAAGTTCTGAAAACAACCAATATTGGTTGGACGCCATTTCCGGTGATCCCACGGAAAACAAGTGGGCCCGTGTTGTCAAGATAACTCCTTACAGGATCATTTAAAGTGAAAAAAATACATGATTTAGTTAAAACCTTAACTTAAAACTTGGACGAAGGAAAACAAATTGAAAATTGGCAGACATTTTTACAAAAAAATTAAAATTTCGCCCAATTTTTTTTGAAATAGTTGTAAACGAAAAAAATCCTTTGTCCAAGTCTTTCGTAACTGTATCTCAAGGACCTGAAAAAATTTCATAAAGATCGGTTGAGTAGTTCTCGAGATATCTTGCTAACCGACTTCAAAAACACAGTTCGAGAAAAACGCATTTAAAGACGGTGCACTTAGCCTAGTTAGCCTCAAGCGCACAAGTTCTCAAGGCTGTATCTCCAAAACTATTCTACGAATCAATTTGAAAATATAGAACGATATTCTAAAAGTATTGTAGATTCGTTTTTTTGAAACCCGTAAACCCATGTAACTCCTTTATATGCATATCTCACAAACTAACGTCTAGCTAGGGTGGAATCCTGTCCACTCCCCGTATAACGCTTATGTTAAAAAGTAGTAAATGTACAATAATTCAATATATAAACGAGTCAGAGGCAAGATATAGACGTGATTCCCCCACCATTTGTCGAATTCCTATACCTCATCCACTACACTTGACCAATTTTAACAAAATTTGATGCACAACATTATATCAACATTCACATGTTACATTGTGACAATTGGCGAAATCGGGCTGCAAGAGCTCCTACATTCTTTATAGAATATAAATCAAGCATCAATTAGGTTATTGCAATAAAACCTCTATCGAACTTTTTTTTTTTTGGGAGGAGATGTGGGGGGGAAATCTTCTAAAGACACCCTGGCGGGTAGTGCCGGATTCGCTTGATGCGCCTACCGAATAAAACCCCCCCACACCGGTTGCCAACCATATGGTTATGAACCTGTAATGTATTTTGCGGGAGAAGGAGAAAGATTTAGTTGTGAGCGGAAGTGGCTCTCAAAAGAATCTGACGCTAAAAAGCGAAGCTCGAATTTTTGGTTAGGTGGGAGCGAAAGGATTTGTCAGGATACATGGAATTCTGAAACGGTCGGTTTTCTTGCACCTAAGAGTGTCTTGCCACTTGATGCTGGGGTTTGCGTGGGATGCTACTGCCGCCCGGAGATTTGCAGCGTAGGAAATAGCTGCAGATTGGATGGAAGGAASATTTGTTTCCTCAAGGATCTGTTTGTTTCTAACAAACCATGGGAAATTAAGAGCTGATCTTAGTAGACGCATGTATGTGGCTTGAAGCCTGGACAGTTGTCTGGGTGAGGCAGAGCCCCAGATAGGGATGGCGTAGGAGCAGATGCTCCTAATGATGGCGTTAAAAGTTCGTTTCTTGGTGCTTGGGGAAACCGTTTTATTGGTAAAAAAGGGTTTTAATGCGCTGAAGGCGCCATTGGCTTTACATCGAACTGCTGTGATTTGTTTCGCCAAGGTTAGCCGCCTGTCGAAGACAACACCGATGTATTTCGCGAAAGGCCTCCATTTGATGGGGAACCTATTTACCAAGATTTTTGGTGGAATTCGCTTCCTCCGTGAAAAGAAGATTGCCTCTGACTTGGTTGTGTTGATATCGAATCTCCACATCCAATACCAGTCGAGGACGGTGGGGATGAATTTATTGAGGGTGGATGTGCTGAAGTTAATTGTACGGGAGGCATACAAGAAAGCGACATCGCCCGCATATTGAGCTGTGAGGATTTTTTCCTCGGTGGGGATGTCGAATATGTAGACCTCAGTGCCTATAACTGTTTTTGCCGAAAATATTAGTAACACTTTGATTAAAATCGGGCTAAACTTCATCTAGCCACCACACCCTTGTGCCTAAAATGCATAAAAACGGGCCCATACATATATAGCCTGTATATCAGTCAATATGTGAGTTATCTCAATTAAAGAGCGAGTATTTCGAAAATAATTGTTTCATTCGATAATCATTGTGCCGACAACGGTTATGATCGTGTGAATTGTTCGGTTTTCCAGTTGCCTTTAAGCAATTTATTTGGTCAACATGTGCGAAATGTTATTACGTGTTTGTATAGACAGTTTTGTCAACTCCTTCCTAGACCTTCCTTACCTGTTGTAATTAATTTTAATAACTGGCATAGTTTTTGATAAATTATAATCATATGAAATATACATAAGTATGTAGTATGTTGATAAGTAAGAGATGCTTAATCTTACGAATCTTTGTCATTATTGCATATTTCAATTATGATTCAACGCACTTGTCATTTTAGTCAAGGCAAAAGCTTTTTTTAAATTTTCACACAGGTATTCTCTTGCTCTCTGTCGCTCACGGACTCTCGCAGCTTTGCACATCCTGAGCTTTACATTCTAATGCGATGTTTTAGTCGCCGCGAAGGATACCTGGTATCCGCCGTCGCTCGCTTTGACACATATTCATAGCAGTGTAAAACTGTTTTGCTGCTTTGTTGTAAATATTAAGAAGAAAACGCAGATGAAATTGCATTTATAAAATGTGCTAAATGTTTTAAATGCTTTAACACATAAAGTTTATATCATTTTCGTAGTAAATACAAACAGTTATACATATGTATATACGCACATATGTGTATTGTATATTAGTTATACAAATGTTAGAAAAAAATGGAAATTAAGTCTATAATATAAAAGTGCGGAAGATTACAAGTGCGTTAGTCAAGTGTTTCACACACGATTTGCTATGTGAAACAATGAAAAGGAATTAAATAAAAGTAAAAAGTGAACTTCAAATTCCTAACATCCATACGTTGTACAAAATCGATATCTCGCTAAATCTCGGAAGTGCGTTTTGGACTCGTTGAAGCCCAGCGAAGCGGGGAGTGGCATAGTACTGCATTTATTCAGCTCGTGTGTGTGTTGTTTGTGCGTTTCATTGCGGTTCCAGTTATTATTATGTTTATAAATTTCAAATGAAATATGAAATATAGGATATGCAGCATAATGCGGAAATCTAGTTGATCGTGTGAATGCCTTGAGCCAATTTAACGGAAGCGAAAAAAATATATAAATATAACTAAGATGGTATTTAAGGCCTGAAACTTAAATACGGTGTGCTGATTCTGTGTATTCAAATTCCAAAAGTAAAGAATTAAAATCAACCGCTGATAACTTAAAGTTTAAGGTAAGCAAATACATGGTTTATACATATATAATATAAAATTGCATATTGTATTTATAACTGTTTCGTTCAGGCGTGACAATGAACAGTATGAATTTTTGTGCATCAACACACAGGTCCATAGAAATGCGTACACATGCATATGTGGTATACGATTGAGTTGGCAAAGTTTCTATAATACAAATGTGCCATGTAGTTTACACATATTTATTCACATATAAACACATAGTATGTATGGTATATGTCTTATGATCATAATATTTCGCAGGCGTAACAAAGACCCAAACTGTCCACTTTAGAATTAAACAGCAGCACCAGATTGGGGGGTAAATGATTCATAATGTTTTTGTTGTTATGTTGAAAGGTTGACATTTTCATTTTCGAAATGTATAGCGAGTGTATATACATATATATACATACATATGTGTGTTTGTGCAAATAAGTTGATGTTGGGCTTATAGTGCATTCGAAACAATGAAAAGTTCACCCTTCTTCTTCACTCCACACGTGCAACTGGTTAAATTAAACTGGTGATGTTTTAGTTTTTACAAAACACTGGTAGCTGACACAAGGCATAAATCATCTTGTAGAAAACAAGAAAAAACAAGTAAGAAAGACGTTAGTTTTCTTAACTTCGGGTGCAATTGAACATTTTATACTCTTGCAACTTGCAAGAATTAACGCCAGGGAAATACCTTAGATGAAAAACATCAACCAACCAACCAACTCAGTCGCCGAGTACTATCATCACTCCGGCGAATGAACGTCTAGTCACAATCCGCATCAAAGCGAGGTTCTTCAAGATATCGCTGATTTGCGCCCCGGAAGAGAAGGACGATGTGACCAAAGTCGCCTTCTATGCCTCCACGAGGAAACATCCCCAAATGGGTTGAGGCTAGAAAATAAACCAACCAGATCGATCAGGATGTGATAGACGGAAGACACGTCTCCAGTGTTCTAGACGTGTGTACGCTCCGAGATCCTAACATTGATTCCGACCACTATCTTGTTGCAACCAAGATTCGCACCCGCCTCTGTGCAGCAAAAAACTCACGTCAACAAAGAAGCTGCAATCACAAAAGACAGCCGAACGATTTTCTACTCGGCTTGCACTCCTGCTCTCTGAGAGCACTCTGCACAGACTGCCTACCTCGCAAAGTTACGATCGACCACAACACGTGCGGGAGGCGATAGATACCGAGAGTTGAAGAGGGAAGCCAGACGCATTTGCAGACAGAAAAGAAAGCCGAAATGCGTGAGTATGAAGAGCTTGATAAGCCGCCGGCTGCGGCTAACAGAAGGTTTCAAGACCGAAACATACTCTTGTAGAACCCCCAAAAGTGATCTGGTGATCGAGGCCCAAAGCATACTAAAATTATGAAAATTCTGGAGGGAACACTTCTCCAGCCAGCTGAATGGCAATGAAAGTAGATCGAAGGCGAACCCGATTCCCCAATCGATGAAGATGGAGCAGACCTTTCATTGCCTAATGAAGAAGTTCGAATAGCAATTACCCGCCTGAAGAACAACAAAGCGGCGGGGGACGATGGATTGCTGGCCGAGCTATTCAAACACAGCGGCGAAAAACTATGCATCAACTTCTTTGTAAAATATGGTCGGATGAAAGCATGCCCTACGATTGGAATATAAGTGTGCTCTGGGAAATCCACAAAAAGGGAGAGCCCACAATCTGCGTCAACTACCGTGGGCCATCGAGCTTATCTTTCATAAGAGTGTACAGCTGCTGGCGTAAGCCGATGATATTGATATTGATATCATCAGCTTCAATACCCGCACCGTTAGTTCTGCTTTCACCAGACTGGACATGGAAGCAAAGTCAATGGATTTGACAGTGAACGAGGGCAAGACGAAATATCTCCTGTAGAAGGACCTGGGCTCGCTTGGAATATCCAATTGGCGCCACGTAGCGAAAAGAAGAAACGACTGGTGTGTTGTTGTTAACTCGGCTATAATCGCGTAAACGGTGTCTGCGCTAGTAAAGAAGAAGATATCCAGCATAAAGTCACCTGGAAATTCGAAATTCTTTATGTTAGGCATAGAGGGCTCGGGGAAGTATAGAACCGATTCAGTTCTGATACACAGAAAAACTATTGTCAGAATTTCAATTATTATGTGAGATATTCACATATTGATCGATATTTTCTGTCAAAAATCAACTATAGATACAGGGGTATACATATTCGGTACCCGTTTGAACAGTGTGGTTTGATTTGGACAATTTTTGGTCATAAGGTGGCATACTTTAAAGGAATTATTAATGCAAAGTTTTATCCCTTATATCAATTGATAAGTGGAAAGTGAAAGATTCAAATGGAATTTTAAATTGTGTTATATTGAAAGTAGACGTGGCTGTAGTCCGATTTCGCCCATTTTCACTCTGTGATGTAAGAATATTAAACGTATGTCACATATTTACTCTAAATCGGTCCATTGGGTTCCGAAATATGGGATTTCACCAGAGAGTGGGCCTCGCCCTTTGTCAAAATTTCATACCATCTCGAAAGTAAAATTTAATGTTTCTGGCGTAATTAGTTATTGATTTGATTGAAAATTTTCCATAAAATTAAAGACCGCCCCTTACCTTCTTCTAGACTCTTTATGCCGAGTATGAGGATTTTAGTCATTTCTTTTTGACTTTATACCGATTTATCAGAATATTTATGTTAAAGCATAAGGGGGTTATACCTAACATAAGAGAAATAGAAGATAGTTCAATCAATTTCGAAATAATTCGAAGATAGAGAGGGAAACATTTTAATAGCTAAGGAAAACGTTTTCGATCAAAATTTTGTTCAGTGATGAGGCGTAATGCTGGCTCAATAAAGTAGAATTGCCGTATTTGGATAAATAGCAAGCTGAAGAGATTCAAGAGCTGAAGTTGAAGCGTGATCACGGCGACATCGCATCAACCAATGGATTTATTGCGAGAACACTTCATTGAGCTGATAATTACACGTTTCGGGCTGGTCGATTGGCCACCAAGATCGTGTGATATCACACCGGTGGAATGGCGACAATTAACTAAACTATTTGATGCCTAAAGTTAAAGCTCGTGATTTCGGCGACATATTTTTTCAAAGAGACGGCACTTCCCACACATTGCATCAACCAATGGATTTATTGAGCGAACACTTCAGTGAGCAGATAATTCCACGTTTTGGACTGGTCAATTGGCCACCAAGATCGTTTAATATCACACCGTTAGAATTTTTCCTGTGGGGATATGTAAAGTCTAAATCATACGTGGACAATTCCGCTTGGATTGGTATTGGAGCAAAACTTCACGCGTAAAATTCGCCAGTTACCAATCGAAAATTGAACTCAACGAATGGACCATCTGAGATGTAGCCGCGAACATTATTTGAAAAGGATAATCTTAAAAAAATACCAAAGAAAGTCCTTTCGAAAGATAATAAAGATTCCCCATTTACTTGAAGTTTCTGTGTCTTTTATTTAAAAAAGTAAGAAACCTCAATTTTTTTCCTTTGCATCATCTAATAACATGACTGCCGAATTTTCACCAAGATTACAAACGCATTAATCTTATACTTTTTAATTGATATCCTTGTAAAACTTCAAGATTTGAATGTATGTAATGCTGTTTTTCATTTTTAAAAATATTTACATTTACTTTTCCCTTCTTTTTCTTCGTAGCGAAATGCATTCCGTGGGCATCCATTCGGCTATGGCAATAAAACGCCAACGTAAACGACGCGATGAACAAAAACGTGCGAGAGAACGACGATACAGTACGCAGAGTTCCGAAAGTGGAGAAACATTTCATTCGCCAAGTGGTTCCTTTCGACGTAAATTTCATCATGGACATAGCGTTGCTAAGCCTGGGCCAGGCATGTTGGACAGCCAGGTAAATAAATGATTGAAATACATTTGTAAAAAGTGATAAATGAACTTAAAAGGATTTTTCTAGGTTGTCACCAGCATCGGTATGCTGCACATTGGTATCGTATTTATAGTATTTGGTGTATTCTTATGCGGTGCTGGTATTATACCAGATGAAACTATGTCCTGGAATGTGTTCAGTAAGTACCAGAAAGCATAAAAAGCAGAAATAACATTAACCTAGGTTGCATTGCTATAATAACCTTCACAGATGCAATTCTGTAGCATATACTATATATATAGAACTAAATCTTTCGATACACAGAAGTACTATTATCAGTAAAGGATTTCAGAAATTTCAGGATTCAGAAATTTCAATTGTATATCTCACACATTGCCCGATGTTTTCTGTCAAAAGTCCACTATATATACTGGGATCCATAAATTCGGTAATTAGGGGCTTGAACAGGTTTAGATTTGGAAAATTCTGGTCCCAAGGTGGTATACTTTAAAAAAATTATTACAAATTTATCCTGTTATATTAATAACTTCTATATTTTTGGACAGGCAAGTGAAAGAATGAAATGGAATTTAAAGTTGTGTTACATGGGAAGTAGGCGTTGTTATATTCCAATTTTGCCCATTTTCACAATGTGATATAATATAATGCCACACACCAAATTTAGTCGAAATCGTCAGTCAAGTCCCGAAATTTGTAATTTCACCAAAAAGTTTTTCACACCGGCGCCCATAAAACCTTCACATACCATCTCGAAGGTAAAATTGAATATCTCTGACGTAATTAGTTATTGAATTACTTTGCTTTTGATACAGTACCGTTAGATATGTAAGTAGTGAGAGAGGTCATCTTCATATCATCAGCAATTTTCACACTGTCGGTAGGAGTTCTTATTATATTTTGTGCTGGGTGAAGTTGGTTATTGCAGCTTTAGAGGTTTAGGAGATAAGTACATTAAGTTTATTACAGGGCGTGGTCACGCTCACTTTTTCAAAGTTTTTTACGCACAGGAGCCCCTTGCTACCGTGCTTATTAATTGCACTTTATGGGTTTAGAACTAATTGCGATTTGTGGCCGCGGCAGTGACCCGAATCCGCATACCAAGTTTCACCAAGATAATTCAATTTCACGTTTCAGCTTGTACAGACGGACGAACAGACAGACAGTCACCCGGATTTAAACTTTTCTCTTCATCCTGATCACTTATGTATGTATATATCAGCTATCTCGCCCAGTTTTAAGTGATACATCCAACCGTTAGGTAAACAAAACTATTATAATCTATAGCAACTAGTTGAAAGAGTATAAGAAAGGAGATTGATTATCATGACCATCTTCTTGGAAAGAAAATAACGTGTGCAAAATATCGGTCGATATCCTTAGCTATGGAACTAGTTCGCCTGTATAATGGCAGCCATACGAATATGGCTAAAGTTTTATTTTCAAAACATCACCAGTGCTTGAGCTACAAATGGGAAATAGGCGTTGCTGATATAAAGATGTAAACAGATTGTTATGCGCTAAATTTGGTTGAAAATAGTTGACTGGGGCTGCCCACTGTGCACGTCTTACTTTTGATAGTTTTGCATATTAAGCTTTGTAGGGCAGGTGGGCGTGGTTATTATCCTGTTAGACCCATTTCTCCACTGTATAAAGAGATTATGGCGCATTTTCGTTAATTTTGTTTGAAAAAGATGTAGCTATGAACTTCATATGAATTTTTTTATCCTGATATTATTTTACATTATTTGCTAACTTACTTACCGTTCCAAAGTTCCCAGAAACGTCTGTGGACTTTGAATTTTCGTGGGCACCTCACCCCGCAATATATAAACGACAAAATAATTACTAGTTAAATCCATGCTTTCTTCTCGCCACCAAATTTGAAATTCACTTTGATAATATCAAAAATTATATAATACAACTATTTTTCTAGGTAGCAGCTCGGCATGGTGGAATGAAGTTACTTGCACTGGGCTTTTCTCACTTGGATTAGGACTATTTTTACTTGTACTGAATTGCTTGATTAGCCGCAAGGAAGAAGAAGATCTCGAAGATTATGTGCAACGACAACTAACTAGATCACGATCTGGTCATCGTCTAGAACGTGATGTCGAAACTGGTGTGTTGACTACACGCCACGCACGGAAAGCTGTAGCTTTACAAAAGAACATGCGAAATGGAACTGCCACGGACGTAGCACTTGTGAACAGCGCATCGGCGGAAGAAGTAGCAAATGGTCCGTTATCAGGGCGTAACTGTTAGTTTACTAGTCTATTAATGTTATATAAAAAGTCAAATTATTATAGCGCTATGTTTATTTATTTTTATTAATTTTTGCTGACAGGTTTAGCCAACACCGGTGATATAGTGCTCGAGAAAATCGTGGAGGAAGATAATACGTATATTAATGATCGTAGCGCTGGCATATCTCCGATAGATATTGAGAATGATACCAAGCAATTGCTGAGAAGAGAATCATTAAATGAAACAATCAATATAACACGAATATAAAACGTAATGATGCATCTACACTTTAATACTTGTAAACAAAAATATGAATATTTACTATTTATTATAAAGACTTTTATTTAAACTTAAGCCTTTAAACTATAAGTGAAGTATTTAAATAAAAACCAAAAAATACAAAATATGTATATTTAAAATAGTTTAACAAAAATCCCATGTGACCATATTTTTTAACAAATGTCTTTTATAAGTATTTTCGTATTTGCATGTATACTTAATTAATATGTAAAACTTAAATCATAACAAATATACACACAAAAATATGAGTATCGATTTGTCGTGCATAGCCTAAACAAATAATGGTTTAATTTACTTTAATTATAATGAATAGCAGTAAAGTAGATTATACATTCACACTTCTATATATTAAACCAAAAAGAACTTCGCGAACAACTTTAAATTATGTACTAAACGAATACACACACTGCACTTTGAAATTTATATGACTTTAAGCAAACACAATTTATTAAATGCCGAATTATATTAAAATAGCACAACAAAGCAAATTTGCAAAACGATACACACATATATGTAAATGTATAAAATATCATTGATGCGTCAACGTAATCATACGAACCGTAAAAAGTTTCAACACTTATCATGTATAAACTTGCTAAAACTGGAAATATTATAATTAAATGGAAGTTAAGATTTATTACAAATAGGCAAAGCAGTAAAACATAATAATTGCACAATTCAAACTCATGTGAAAAGACTTTTAAGTATATACTAAATATATATGTATGTATAAAATAAAAAAATGAAAATTTAAAAAATAGTCCAATATAGCTCTAACTAAACTATATCTAACGCATAAACTATGCCATATACAGACATACATGTATATATTTTATAACGCTCTAGTTAAAACTCAAATATGTATATATACAATACCAACTAGATCTATAAATATTTTCGCATTATTTATCAACAGCCTTAGTGCTTTAGCATCATTCGTCATTAAGGGATTGCCTAACTGATAATATTTAATTATACGCAGCATTTATATGCATATTATTTTTACGCTGTAATATAATTTTAATTTATAAATTTTCTTTATTTCTTAAACATAAATAGTCTGTAATCTTTTGGAGAACATAGTTGTAGAGGTTAGTTGAGATATACATATGCACTGACACAGATACCCCTAAATTGGAAATTATTATAAATGCTAATTTTGCATTTAACTTTGTAATTTATATTATATACAAAATATTAAAATGTTAATTTATTTTCACTGTATACCGTTATGCTTTTTCCAAGATTAGTTGTTATTGCTCTGTTTTCTAACTGATATCGACCTGTCAAAATTTCAAATGCTATTTTATTGCTATTATTAACATTCATAATTGTTAGACATCAAAGCATTTATCTGAAAAAAACTCTAAATAAAAGCGTTCTAAAATAATGAAACAATATCCGAAAAGCATAAAATAATGATTTAGTTTGAATTTAAAAATACTACTCTGCTAATATTATAAAGATTAAATCATTCTCTATTTTTTTATGGCAAAAATTTCATTTTATATAAAATTTAAAAAATTTTAATTTCTATGTTTTATTGTCAAGGGTCGCCGGGCCATATAGGCCAGTTAGACTATTGCCTATGGCGCGAGAGTTTTAGGTCGGCATATTGACTAATTTTCTTTACATATTTTATTTTCTTGTTTACTTATTTATCACCAACTTTTTATTTAAAACAATTGTGTTTGAATTTTCCAAATTAAAGTCACGAACATGTGTAACTAAAAAACTTATTTATTATACGATCAATTATTATATTTTTAAATAATTAAGTAAAACCTTTGGAATATGATTATTTTTTTAATAAAAAAACTGAATAATTTTTAAAAATTATAAATTCTTCTACAAAAATTGTTTCGTGCCGGCCCTGTTTATTGCAAAGCTTAATAAAAAATAAAGCTTGAAGCCATTTAACCATAAATCAAAATTGTAAACATCGCCCATTGCCAATAATAATGCGACATTTCCTCAGAATTTTAATTTACATACATATGTATTTATGTTGCTTTCAAAATTTATGTAGTGCAAATACTTTTCCGCAGCAGCTTCTTTTGCTATACAAATAATAATTGACTTTTGGGTTTTGAGAAACTGTCATTCTTGCTTTACGTCACATATACCTACAAGTAGTGCGTTTGTACTTAACAGCTACATATCTTTCGTTAAATAATTTTAATATGGGCGAAAAAAAGAAAGAAGCTATAAAGTTTTCTGTACGAGAAGTTGATTTTGAACGTTTAGTATGTATGGCAAGTACATGCTATTGTAATCCAGTCTGAAAAATTTCTCCGAAAATTATACCGTTGCCTTTGGCAATAATCCATGACAAATTTCAAAAAAGGATATCCAAGAATGACAGAATACTATTCTATTCTTATTCTTATGCCGACGTCATTAGAAGCTAACACGATGACTACAATAACCAAAAAACTAGTTTTTTAGAAAGGCAATGAACTATCTTTTTTTTTTAGAAATATTTATTAGGTACTTTAATCTGTGAATTAGACAATGAACGATAATCCCCTTCCTCCACTGATATCATCAAGTGTGATTGCTAATGTTAATATTTTAGTTAACAAAATGCTTTTCGTTTTGAAAAAAGATGATAACTTGTACCATTCTTTTGATAAAAACAAAACTTCTTGCAAATAACTTTACTATAAAATAAAACAATCAAAAAAAAATTTACACTTTGTATGTATAATAATTTAACATTAAACTAAAAAATTGAAATAGCCTTTTCATTTAACTTTAAGTCTTAAATTAATAAGTAAAATGTTTAAATTGAATTATGCGATAGCTCGTGAAATATCCAATATTAGTATATTTTAATAACGTGTTTTTGTAACTATTTTCATATATCCTTATAGATACTAACAAAATAAAAACAAGCAAACATCCCTAAAATAATCATTAAATGATATTAGACATGATATCAATGGCGTACTACATACATATAAAGAATGTAAACTTATATTACATACATACCATACATACTACATGCATACATATGTATGTACATAACATTTTCTTAAATATGCTAAAGAAAAAGAAACAATAATACCGCACTTTACCAGTAGGTACACAAGTCTATAATATTATTTCTCAATTTAATAATATTTATAGAACGTCATCGTGAGAGTAAAATAAGTTTAAATGTAAAAACGGTCATCTTCAATACTTATAAGGTATTTATATACAAATCGCAAATCGAAAATATATTTAACACTCAATGTGCGACATAATTGCTGCAAAAATTCAAATATTACCTAAATTTTCTTCGAAATTTATTTTAACATAGTTAAGCCAGCAAAAAATATTTGCATAATTTAAAATCATGTGAAAAGACTTTTTTTAAATAAAGCTATATGCATAATGAACAATTAAACTTTATTTATGTGTACTGAATGTCTTTTGTATACTTCGTGAAATTTATTATAAAACTGTAAATAATATGACACTACTACTTAAATAATGCTGAAACAACATAACAGGGATGCTACATAACAAGCGTTAAGACTGAATCACATAAAACTTTCTTCGCTCTGCTTAAAAACAAAGATTATATCAGAAAGAACGCTTTGCTTTCCATGCTTTTATTATAATAAGTTGTCTTGGCTTTCTGGAGCCCACGCACTTTAACGAGGGGCACACTACAATGACTTATTCCCATTTCACTAGCTATTTGACGTTGGGATAATTCAATCTTATATGAAGCAATGATTTCTGCTTTCTTTATTGATGATACCAGTCCAGTTGCTTATTTTTAAAACTGACTCAAAAGAAAATACCGCAAGTACTGATATAACCTCGTGTAAGGACCAATGGCTTCAGAAATAACGGTAGACAAATGTAGTTACATAACAAGAAAGTAAAACAAGGAAATGGAGGATGGAGTCATGTGTAGAAGTTCACGCAAGTGAGGAAAGTTTTCTGATCGCCATTCACTTGGGAGTGGCCAGAAACGATTCTTTTACAT